GAGTATAAAAATATTCAAAATATCTACTTTTCTGGATTCAGCCAGAGCAGTTTTTTATGGAAGATTTACACTTCTTGATATTTAAATAGAAAAGAATGATGGTAGATAATATGTTCCTACATACGAATAAATAGTATTTAATGTTAAGCATATGGGCACATCACAATCCCCATCTTACTGATACAAATGCAATGTATTTTGCTTTCTAAAACAATGAAACAGCATCTTTTGCTCTTTCTCATTATCTATCCAAATAAATCTGTTTCATTTGCTACTATACAAGGCAAAGTGTCACTTACTGTATTTCCTTCACCGGGTGCCTCAATGTTTGGCCTTATGTTTCCTTCACCAGGTGCCTCAGTGTTTGATCTTGTTAAATTCTCAAAAGTTAAATCAGATTCTTCCTGAGATGTGCGACGTTTTCTGTGGAGCCAAAGACCATAAGGTGTACCAAAACCTACTGCAAGAAAAAAAATACAGAAAACAAGACGGCTTATTTATGTGTTTTAAATGACTATATGAATTACAATTTATTAAATGAAATTAAATTGGGGTTTAATTTTATCCACACCTCCTCTCCTTATGTATAAGAGAGAGAAAAGCTTTAAAGAAAGAATTTTCTTAGATACACCGGTTATATAGGTAGCCATAGGTAGGAAATAAGCAGTTTTCCCCTACGTTAGGATCTAGGATTTCCTTTTTAGCTAGCTTTTTAAAATACGCATACCCAAATATGTATAGCAACCAAATTCTGTTCCAACAATCGGGTGTTAGCCAAATGGTTCATAAGTGAATATGTGATTGAAAGCAACACTACAAAAAATCATTGCTTGCTGCCAACTCATTTAAATAAAGTTCTCATACAGCTACATGTCACACTCTCTCTAGCTTGCACTATTAAGGACACAAAACTTGGTCAGAGAGATGTGCATTAGTTGGGAAATGAATTTTTTATAACCTAAAGTTAGTTGAGGTATTTGTTAAGCAAGGACCGAATGTAGTTTGACCCTTCACAGTTCATGTTGCTTCTTCAAGACATTCGCATACTTACATAGCATTAATAATGAACCCATGACCATTGCAGGAATGCTCCAGGCTCCTAAAACAGGTGCTGCTGCTGGAGTGCGTTCTACTTGAATGTCTGAAGAAGAATAATCCAGTGACATGTTTATGGTGGATTTGGAACAGTTACTTGGAATTGCACAGTCACAATAATGAACTATTATTTCTCTTTTTCTGATGCTTTCTCCGTTACATATTCTGAGAAGAATATAATAGTAGCCATAGTCTATATCTTCAACTGAAGAAAGCAGTGCTGAAGCATCTATGAAAGAAATAATTCAAATCCACAAATTACACTTCATATGATACTTACGTTAGTCAGAATATATTTTGTAGATATTAAAAAAAACATACCATCATTTGGAGTTAAGTTCCATTTTAAGTCCACTGGCTTCTCTATTTCAAAATGAAAAGGTATAGTGGACATTGGCAAATCAATGTCAGTGGCATTTATACAGATTGGTTTTTTATCTTTACACATGATGTAGCGTTTACTGGTATTCACTGGGTAATTGTTCTCAATCAGAAGTATTATCACAATTGTCCCTTTTCCTGTTTTACCACCTAGGTAAATTAAAATGCTTAGTTTTAAGACAGTAATGAAAGTAACTTGATCAAATCATATAAAATTACAAAAGTATTATTTCTCTGTGAAAGCTAAATAAAACATCTTGTTGGTTTCACAAACTGCTAATCCATAATCCAAAGGAAGAAAGCCATTGTAACAGAACAATAGAATAACAGAATAACGGAATGGGGGGGGACCCTGGATGTCTTCTAATCCAATCCCCTGCTCAAGCAAGAGACCCCATAGCATTCCAGAAAAATGGCTGTCCAATCTCTTCCTCAAAACCTCCAGTGATGGAGCACCCACAATTTCTGGAGGCAAACCATCCCATCAATTAATTGTTCTCATCAGGAAATTTCTCCTTAGTTCTAGGTTGGATCTCTCTTTGATATGTTTCCATTATTTTTTGACTTGCCCTTAGATGTTTTGGAGAAGAGGTTGTTCCCCTCTTCTTTGTGACAGCCCCTCAAATATTGGAAGACTGCTATCATTGTCACCCCTCATCCTTCTCTGTGTTAGACTAGACATATCCAGTTCCTGCCTCCTAATCATCCTTGTTACTCTTCCCAGCAATCCTTCTGGGGTCTCAACTTCTTTTCTGTATCACGTTGACCAAAACTTGATGCAATATTCCAAGTGTGGTCTTACCAAAGCAGTATATAGCAGTAGTAATACTTCATGTGATCTTGATACTATTCCTCTGTTGATTCAGTCTAGGACTGCATTGGCTTTTTTGGCAGCTGCAGCACACATCAACAAAGTTGTAATGTAGTTTGTTAAACTGCAGAATTATGCATTGCTAACAGAATGAATTACTGCCAAGTATATTTGTTGCCCAAATTCTCAGAGGAAAAGTGCAATAAGTATCTAATACATGCAAAGGTAAGTTAAATAACAATCAGCTCATGGTTTTCTACTTGATAGACGAGGTCCTGCAGAAACTGTATGGGGTAGTGTGGACAAGGATCTGTTCTGCTGATTCTATTCCAGTATAGGACAATATAATTCAGGCTCTACAGCTAAAATGATGGATTTTGAAGAAAAATGTCAAATAATCACCCCAAGTAAATACTGTGAAACAATTCAAAGGAGATTGATTTTAAAAAAGATATACAATTAATGGGTTTCAAATATTAGACCTGCCTACTTATGGCTACAGATCATAGTTGCAAAAAATTGAGTGATCATTAGATTTCAATAAAAGAGAATACAGCCATCAGTAGCTGCTCATATTTTTGCAGGAAGCTTTATGCATGTAGCAAAAATAGCAATATTTCACAATATTTGATACTTACTTTGATCAGTTGCAAATACTGTTACATTGCATTGACTGTATTCTATATTTTGTGAATCTCTTTCTAAAATGTCAGTAGTTCTGAGGTTTCCTATTTCATCAATGGTGATCCAACCGCATGGATCCTTAATTATTCTGTAACTGTTAAGAATAAATATTTTAACAAGGTTATGTACCTAAAATTTATTCCAACAATGTAAGTTAATTATAATTGCTTTCTGATGTTATACACAATCTATATAAAAACTAAACAATATAATAATTTTGTACCTTAAATGTTTGTTTCCAGTTTCTGGATCTATTGCTTGGTAGTTACCAACCATTGTACCAACCAACAAGCGTTCCTTTATGTATAGAATATATTCACAAGGTTCAAATACAGGTCCTTCATCCTGATCCTTAATTTTGATCACAATGCTCACCATACTTGTTGGAAGAACTCTTGAATTTGGAGGTGGAACATAAGGTGCTTCATTATTTATGGCAATTTCTAATGTTCTCTCATGGCTTTTCTCATAATCCAGTTCCTGGAGGAAGTAAATGCTATTCAAATTAATTTATTACTACTAAGACACTTTACTATTATGATTTTAGGTTACTGATGAAAATACAGTGTGTATAACTATTTAGGTGTGTGTCATGTATGTGTTTCACTTTAAGAGCGGGCAACTAAATTTCATTTTTGATGTGTGCCATTGTGCCCACAGTAAAAAAAAAATGACAATAAAGGTTATCTTATCTATAACTATTTTAAAATTTTCATTTGAGTTTTCTCTCCCTCCTCTACCCCAACATATTTTAATGGGAAATAGTATTACATTTTAAAAATGTAAAATACATCTTTAGAAAGCTGTGAAAAATATATTTCAACAAGTAATTCACCCCTTAAAATTAAGTAAAATTCAATTCATATTATTGCAGTAACTCTTTTTATTATCCATAGTTACCTTTAAGGCGCTTAAACACCCAATATTCTGCTGTTGATCAACTCTAATATCAAAACTGTTATCTTCATTTCCTTTAGTAATAGCAAATATACCCATCCATGATGATGTTCTGGGTTCATCTTTATCTTCAACAGGAATGCATAATATTTCTGCATGTGCTATGTTTTCATATATTTCCACTACATACTAAAAAAATTAAATATTAGTTTATGAATAGTTCTAATGCCAGATAAGATTCATATAATAATCATGATCCTGCTCAGATTTACCTGGCATATTAGCCAATTGCTCAGATCCTTTGCCACTTTTTTCTAAAATTACTCTCCAATCATTTGGCTGTTTATCCACCGTTAAGTATTTCCCAAAGGTGATAGCTAATCGTTAGACATTAACAAGTTCCTTCAGTAGTATAAGATAGGATTCATCTCTCTCTCTCTGAAAATTCTTGCCAAGTTAATAAATATTTTCTGACTATCTCAAAGTCTAATCTTTCCACTTTAACCTCCATTTTCACCCATTACCTTCTTATTAGAGAAGACTGAGCCAAATTACAATTGTTCTATTTCTTTGTCACCTTCTAGGGTGTTGTCATGATACTGAGCAACTTTTTACCATGTTGAGGTTTTTTTTTAATATCTAGTTGTTAAGCATTCATTATGCTTTTTTGTTCCCCAACTCTTGCTCATTCTGACTTTTAGTCTTCCTAATACTTTATTATCTATTATTAAATTTGGGACATGCATGATGAAATAAGCATTAGCAATGTAACAGAAACTCCAGAATGTAAATGGAATTGCTCAAATTATTTTTCTTAAATTTAATATTCACTTTAACTGGGTTAATACCATAAAATATCATAAAGAATTAACATCATCATTTAGTTTTACTATGATAGACTTACCATATTTTGTGCTATTTGAGGGAGATTATCATTTACATCTCTAATCTCAATATGTACTGCTGCTACAGTGTACAAACCAAACTCCTCACCTCCCATGTCTCTTGCTTCTATATGTAGTGTGTATGCTGATACCATCTGAAGAACATTAGAAAAAAATATAGCCATAATTTTCCTGGGTTGATTAAAAATACTGTAATTTTTTAAAAACAAAAGCAGAGGCCATGGGATTATTCACATAGTTAAGAATTTATTCAATATTGCCATTTCATCCAAAGATTACTCTGCAAAAAAAAATAGTTTGGCACTGTTTAATTCTCACTATTCCACATCATATCTTCATATTTTATGAAATAGGTCAGACAGACTGAGACATTGTTCCAAAGTTATCCACTAAATTATTTGAACTTGGCTTCACAATATCTATATAACTCCTAACTACCGAAAGGACTTTTGACTTCAGCTATATTGCAGCTACTCTTATCTAAGACCAATTTTATCATTTGTTAGCTTTATGCTATTTCATTTATGAGTTCACCGTTTTTGATATAGAACTAAATTGAAAATTACCTCTCTGTCCAAATGTAATGCTACCGTAATACAGCCTGAATCTGGATCTACAACAAATTCCTGAAGTTTCTGATGACTCTGGGATATAATTCTGTATTTCACTTTGCTATGCAGTGTATTGGGCTCATCTTTGTCTGTTGCAGTCACTTGTCCAACTAATGTTCCTGTATATAGAAGGCATCAACTTTAGATTTTCATAATACTCAGGTCATCCTCCTTTAGAAAAAAAAAAACTATGGCCATATTATTCAAATATCAAAGTAAAATACATCAATTTTGAAGGGTTATCAAATTTGCAGATTATACAAAGCTATCTTACCTTTCCTACCTTAAAACTTAAAACAAATTTAAAACTTTATCTTATTATTTCTTACCCTTACTTTGCATAACTTTGCATATTTTCAAAAGAAAATAATGTGTTAATACATTTTTGGGATCACTGAAGGTGGAGATTTTCCAGTGCAAATATAACATGGATTATAATATTAATGTTAAAGAATGAATTGGTGAATGCCACATATTTCAGATGTATGAATTTGAACACCTCTTCCAAATTGAGAAATAAGCTCCAAATTAAAGCAGAAAAAAATGTTCTGAATTTAATCTTTCTAACCTTTGAATTTTTTTCTACCCTAACAAGTTAGAACCTGAAACGTATCTAACATCAATTGGTATGACAATATTTGTGAAATGAATATAAATGAAATTGCACTGAGGAATCCAGAATTAAGAATTAACAATTCCAACAAACAACTTATTTAGAAATTATTATTAATTAAGTTCTAAAGGGGATCATTCAGAACATATTCCCCAAAGGACACTAGACAGATCTTAATTTGTTCCCTGTATGAAACTCTAGCTTCACTATGTTTCTCTAGAGCTCTTTTGCACTAGAAAAAGTAGCTATGCAGTCACCGCCTGTGTAAAAATGTGTACTTCTTGATATTTGCACGTGACTTAAGGAAGAAAGAGATTCAGTTTAGTGTCAGTTCTGGCCTCACATCAGGTTGATTCTTGCAACTGTACTTCACTAGATTCCCTCAATGATATCCTCACAAACCTGTCATCTGAAACAGCTTTGCTAGCATACTTGGCCTAGTGATTCATTTGTGTTTGATTTATTTATTTATTTATGCCTCATTCTTCTCTGTCTAGAGTCCATTAGGATTCAGGTAGGCAATAAATATTGTCAAATTTTAGCACATCATATTCTGCCTCAGACAAACTTTACAAGCTCTTTCTTAATCAAATCATATTTTACAGAGGTGTAGCTTGAAATTCCCTACACATATCTCTATGAAGCATGGTATGTTGATTCCTACCTTAACCTGCTGTTTTTGCACAATTCTGTTAATAATCTGCTCAGAAGAAAACTGAAAAAATGTGGGCGTCATACAATTACAATAATCAAAACAGGCAATATTTGCAAGATTTCCAAGTACATTTATATACAAAAACTATTTGACATGTTATTAAACATACCCTTCCATGCTGCCACTATATTTTCCTATTAATATGTTTTGCATTCCTCAGTAACAAAGTCTATATTCACATTTAAATAACTGATGTGATAATTTCACCCAAAACATATCAAAATAGATACACGTAGTCCACGTTTAGTGGTTGCCCTGTGCAGTGACCTTATGCTGGCGTTCAATGTCTTGTAGCTACTATACCATAGTACTATATTACAAATACATATATTACAAAGATTTATTTAAAAATTCAATTACCAATTATACTGTTTTCAGGTACATGAAAAGTATAAATATAATATTCAAACTCTGGAGCATTATCATTATCATCCTCTATTTTGATGATGTGAATAAGTGGGATTTCTGGGGTATATCCATCCGGTGTCATTGCATAGCAAATGAGCTGCAGAAAATGCAATAAAAGAAGCACTTACTCCTCTGTAGCAAATGAAAAGTTTCTGATAAATCAGAACACAATTATTTAATCCATGTATCATACAGAATTTTCTGTATGATGAATAGCTGTTAACAGTATTTGTATGTGCACAGGGAGAATCTCCTGCATTAGTAAACACCTTCCTTATAGCAAGGTATAGTATTAAGTCCTAGAGATGTTCAAAAATATGTAACGAGCATACAACTATCATACATAATAGATAAAGGTCACAAGGCAAAGGAAGCTATTTTAACATAAAATGACATAAGAAACCATAGACATAAAAGAAACCTAAGAAAGTTGGTAGAAGAAAAAAAATCAGCAGAAAATATTAGATATGTTCCCTGCCTTGAGTTGACCAAACAGAAAAAATACAGGAAAATAATAATAATAGTAAAAAGGACCCATTAAATAACCAAGGAAAGGAGAAAGATGCAAATATCATAGAAAGGATGTCTTTGTGTAAGCAGAGAGACTTGATGGAGGAAGACTGATAAGATGCTAAAGCAATATAAAGCCAGGAAAAATGATAAAGGGTGAGATAAGAAAAATGAAAGTTCAGGTGGGAACTGAGAAAGAACTACCGGTATAAGGTTTGCCCTCTTCTACAACCCATTATTATAGCCATAAGATTATTGGTGGACCAGGAGCCTCTCATTGACATGTACTTTATGTCTGTGTATTTGTAAACTGTCTATTTTCCCTGGCATGATTGGATGATAGGGAAAAAGTTGGAGTTTTTTTAAGAAACCTGAGGCAAAGGTTGCGTGCCCAGGAAACTTTGTGACTGACTAACAAGTTAATGCTGCTTATCCCATATCTCAGATACAAACAGTTCCTACAATCAAATTGTTCTCATTGTTTATGTATGCTTTTTGAGTATAACCACAAGAATCCTCTAAAATTTGCCTCAAATAATAATTTTTAATGTAATAGGAAGTAAATATTATTAAATAAATAGGGAATAATTATATTAACACAATTTAATTAATTTCAAAATAGCTGTCTATTATGGAGCTGATGCTTAAATATAAATTCAAAGAATAAATTCAGAAGGGCATGTATCTGCACTTCTGAAATCCATGCAGTGCATACAAAGTCATATCATTATTTGAGTAGGGTATATATATGTCTATGTCTATGTATAGAATCACATACCTGAAATTCTGGGAATACTTCCCGATCTATTGGGCAAGTAGCAAAGAGATTTCCAGTTTCTTGCTCAATGTAAAAGTAATTCAGTGGTGGTTTGTCAACACCAGGGCCAGCGATGAAATATCTAATATTGTATTTTTGTGCCATGTCAGAAGACAGCTGCATGAAAATAAAGACATGAAATTAAATTAATTGACAAATATAATTATTTACCTCTTGCCTACATAATTCACTTCAATTGAACTGAATTTATTCAAAATTTATTAAGAATCTTTTGTGCATTGGAACAGCCAAGGATTATTGCAAAGGACTTCTTTACAGGTCATTAAGATCGCAGTACACTTCAGTGAACAATAGGCACCATATAAGGTGTGTAATGGTTGTAACCTGCTAACCAAATGAGTTAGCATATGGCATATGCATCTACACAATCTTAATTTCAAAAAATGTTAGCAATGGACTTTCAATCAACTCTAAATTACACCAGTCAATGAATGAAACGTAGTCATAGAAGTAGACTACCTCTCAGAATGTAAATTTTTCTCCTCCTAATTTTAATTCTAAACATCTGACAGAACTCCATATAAGACTCTGCCCACTATAATTGCCCATTACATTTTTAAAGACAAAGTCATTTAAAAATTTAATGGTCAATTATATTTAGTAGAGTCTTATATGCAGTTCCATCAGATGTTACTGTATGCATGTTATTTCTAGATGGACTTAGTAGCTATTTCATTTCATTTCTGAAATTAAGTAGAATACATTTCATATATCTGCTTTATTGTAAGTACTGTATGGACCTCTTCAGATTACAACGAAGAAAATATTATCCTCACAACAATGGGTTTATTGTGCATCTGCAGTTTTGCAAGTGATATGCCTCAGTGAGGCACTTTGCCTCATGGAGATACTTTGCCTTGCTTAAGCACTGCAAAGGATTTTGCAGAGGGACTTTGTTCCTCCTCAAACAAGAGTCCCCCAGTGCTCTAGAACACTATTTAAACAAGCTACTACAGGAAAATTAGGAGATAAATTTACATTCTGAGAGGAAGTCTACTTCTACTTCTATGACTATTGTGTAATTTAGATGCGGAGATCATTTGAAATGTCAAATGAAGACTACATTAAAAACATGCCTGTTGAATTTGCATAGGAAAAGGCCCTAGTGAGTTTTCCATTATAGTAGTTGGTACTGGAGCCCATCTTCGTTTTGTTCGTTCCACAACAGTTGCTCGGTCATGCCTTCTTTTAGTTTTTGAGGCCTAGAAGAGAGAAAAGAGAGAAACCTAAACACATATCTATAGCAATCATGCTTTTGTTTTTAGTTACATCTTTTAATCTCTGTTATTGCAAACATTGTAACAGGTAATATTAATTCCTAACATAATTGTAGCATGGGATAAACATAATTCTTTTGCTTTTTAAAACAATTTTAATACTTTATATCTCAGATTACGCAATTAAATTGTTTTTCCATTTCATGATTAAATTGATTATTAAAACACTAATGCTGCTGATCAAGTTTATTTGATAAACCATTTTTTATTTCATAGGAATGTTTATCCATAAATTAAGAAAAATGTTAACAGTACATAAATTTCTGATTTTTATACCATCATATAAACAATATGTAATAAAACAGTAATGCTAAAAGATGCAATACAAACATGAAAATAAAATATATACATATGATTAATATTCTTGAGGTATAAGCATCATTATGCAAAGTACAGAAAACAAATAAGATAGTAAGCAATATAGTTAAGATTACTTTCTGTTATGTAAAAGGGAATTATATTGGATGCTTTGTTTATTATTTGTTTTGATCTATGGCTTTCTCTCATAATTTAATAATTTAGTTTATACCAACACTTCTTTATCCTTGCAACCTATCTTGCTTTCCTTATGATTTTAAACTATTTCATATATTGCCTTTTGTTCTTTAAACTTTGTTCTTTCTCCATTTTTGAGAAAGTTATTAACTCCACCCAACCACATCTTTTGCCTTCAACCCATTCACTTTTCCTTGTTATATTTGTTATGAAAATCAGTCCTCATTCATTCTCTCTGCATCACTAAGCCTACTAAACATACTTTTTTCTTCCTGAACATCCATGTGTATTCATCACCTATTCATTCTTGAGCACATGTCTTTTTCTTTTATCAACACAGTTAAATGTCCCATTCTCACTTTATTAAACTTACTTTTATATTACTCTCAAATAAAATAAAATGAATGCAGGGAGGATGATAAGATGTGTGTGTGACAGTGAATGACAGACTCAAAAATGAAAGGAATTGTACGTATATAATATATTATTGTAATTATATCTACCTTTTCAGGGTATGTTAGCAAGGTAACATATATCTGCTTTTGCTCATGTGTATAAACATTTTTTAAAAATACAGTAATGATGTTTTCATGAGTAGTCAAAGAAATAGCATTTTTAGTATACAGTGAACCATCTTCCAGAATTATAAAATTGGGATTGTTTATGCCAATAATTCCAGTATCATTAAGACAATGTTTCATGTTTACTGTAAGAAAAAAGAAAGAAATTTAAAAACCAGTTGAAAAGAGAAAAAGCATAGAGAATAATCCAAAATCACCCAATAAGTATATTTGGGAAGGGCTTAAACTCCAACCCTCCCATTCTAATAACTACATTGCTTGGCCCAATTGTACAATTCATTTTTTTTTGTCAATGTAGGCCTCTTAAGGCCTACATAATTTAAAATAAATATACAGTATGCTTACATTAAGTCATAGCAGTTAGAACTTTTCTAGCTACCACTTACAGTGATGACTTTGTTAGCCTCTAGCAAGTTGCTGTTGCTGTAAAAGACTTTTGCAAAACCCAGATTGAAATGCCAGTGTCTACAAACAAAGAATGGGAGGGAGGTTGTTAGCTCACCTCTGCCAATAAACATCCCCATCTTCAGTTTATGAGGTACATTAAAAGATACTTCACTGCAAGCTTCAAAAAATAAGTCCCAAGTCTAAAGGAGACAAAGAAAATACACAAAGCATTGCATTAAAACATAGCTTTTCTAACACAAACTATTTATTGACTAACAATATATTTAACTGAAAAGACAACAGTAGCTTTCTCCAAATAATTTGATTTAAGAGTCACCTTTCACATTCCATTTCAAGGTGATCTTGCATTGAGAGTTGCCTTCCTTTCAAATAATGTAACTTAAACATACATTCAGCAATTCAGGTATAATTATTTTACTAGGAAGGCAAAATACAAAAGAAATAGAGAGCTGTTCTCAGTGTTATCTTTTTTTTTTTCAGCAAATGTGTTTGTTCATCCAAATTAGAAAGATTTGCCAATGATAAATGGCAGGATGCAAAAGCAGAATATCTATCCATTGATTTTGTTATTTCTTGGACATTATTTCATTTCTTTCCCACTTAATACAAGAATTCATTAAAATGTATGTGTAATACATTCATGTAAAATACTAAAAGTGTGCCTGTTCCTATGTAGGTGGAGCAGGGAGAGGGGGGAATGTGTTGTATTTCTGTAGTCCAATCAAGCTATGCTTCAATACTAGGCTTAAAATGTTTGCTTATTCAGTGTATGTTTTTTTATTCCTATGCATCACAATACAGCAATTAAAAAAGAATACATTGGCTAAAATCTGTTTTATAATGTTTATATGAACTTATAAACATTACATAATCGTAATTAAAACCACAATCAAAATATAAAGGCTACTATTGGCACAATCAGCAAGTCGAGGGAAGATATCCTAGAGAACTGAGGCATAGAAAGGCAGCATTTCTTGTCCTTTCA